CACCCTCTGCTGAAAATGGACAGGCAAATCCAGCACCGTTTGTGAGCAGAAAAATTGGTCTTGATCTGAGATGGATACTACTGTGGTGTATCCTTGAGAACTCCCAAGGCAAAGGAAATACAGTGTAATTGTGGGTCAGCTTCATGTGTTATAAATGCAATTCTGATTTAAACCTTATTCTAAAACATCTGCATTACTCTTTAAATACAGAACTTCATTTCAAGATGACATGGTAAAGCATTTCATTTTCTTAATTTAATTTTCAGAACGCTTTGATCATACAGCAGCAGTTAGGCAACAACTTTCTTGTTCTGTCTTTTACCTCTACCTTAAGATAAAGTTTTATTATTGTCAGTCTTCAGGAGAAGAGTAATGCTTTTTAAAATGAAGAGAATGTAATTTACACATGAAGTCAAGCTAGCATGACTTAGCACAAATGATGTTAATATAAACCAGAAATTTAGAAAAGAAAGAAAGGACCCCCCATTCCTGAAAGCTGGAGAGGCAACTTAAATTAGATACTCTTTACTGTAGCTATTTGTTATTGACGTACAAACATTTTATTTCTTCTCTGATCTGGGAAGAGAATATAGTTGTTAAAGGCAAATACTTACTATTTCTAATGCGTATTTTAGTCTGTTTTGTGATAGCATGTAGAAATTTTAAGTCTTGTGTAAGAATACTGTGCTCTAAGCAATCAAGTAGAGTGTCAGTCTGAAGTCAGTCTTTAGCTCTTTGTAGTTGCTCTGTGTATGTATGTGTATTTATATATACACGTGTGTGTGTGTGTGTCTAATCACAGCAAACCCATTTGGTTCTATGACTGTGAAATGAGCTTTATTTGAATTACTGAGTCTTGAAATGCAAAGTTCCATTAAATAACCTAAATCAAATCCCCAGAAGTACAGACCATAGTCTGGAGTACATGTGACATTTCGGCAACTGTTTTTAAATGCACTACGTGTTGGCCTTGTTATTGCTGATGAAATGCACACATATATGTAAAGTGTATATACATCTATATACACCCAGTTCTTCAGCTGTTTTCATTCCAAATTAAACATTTGCTTTGCAGACATATTTTTTTTACTTTGCACATCATCTGTAGTGTGCACGTTTTGATTTATATGGACCTGAATGTTGAGTATGTGTTTTTTAAAATGTACAGCTGGGATACAGAATTTCAATGAAGGACAAGACAGGAATTCAAAATGATTTTGATAAATAGAAACCCCTGTCAGGAATGGAGTTATCCCTCAGGAATGTTATAGGTAAAGTTTATTCTGCCTGGCAATGGACTACACGACCTTTCAAATTCTCCTCAAGCTCTGTTTTATGATTCTGTGATCAATTCATTTTGGCATTTGACAGCTGCTGTACATATATTATAGATAATTCTACTGCCTTTAATAGTTTAATGATTTTTAATTCACATGTTTTGCACATGGAACATTTTAACTGCATTTAAAATGTATTCTTTTTTATTTATTTGAAGTTAGTAATAATAAAGGATAGGGGTTTCATTGGCTATTTAACAAACATCTATTCTCTCCAGCCTGAAACATACTACAATGCTGGATTTCCATGTGAGGTTACAAGGCTATATAAATTACTGATCTTTAACATAAAAGTATCTCGGGTTTTTATATGCAGTTGATCCAATGTTATTCCCATTAGTGCTAATAACTGGGTGATAATTCACTTCGTTTGGAAAATGAAATCCTGATTCTCAAAGTAGTTTTAGTAACATTCAGTCTGGAATCAGATTATTCTTTATAGCATGTTAAAGTCATAGCAAGGTGGTCTTCAGCTTGCAAGTGTACTTTCAGCTCACAAATAGGTAATCTTGTTAAAATATTGTCAGGTTAATCAAAATTGATTTGTCTGTACTAAACCCAGTGAATGCTAATCAAGTATCAGGTTAGGAAGCTTTAGTAGCAATTTTAAGTCTTTGATAGTTTCTCCTTATTCTTGGATGGAATGACTCATTGGATTTGTGGAAACATTTTAAAGCCTGAACATCCTTCCAAGACTGGAAACACATGCCCTGCAGCCTAAAGCATCTGCTTTAGAAATATGTTTTCAAAAGCCTGACAGTGTGGATTACTGTATTTGTTATACCTCATATGCAATGAATTGTTCTCCAAACTATGTAAGTGCTTTGTGGTTTTGCCACTCTTTATTATTTGTAACTATCTTGCCATTTTTTATCGATAATGGTTACAGAGATATTTAAGACTGTAATGTAGTCTCTGTACGTATGAATACCATCCATTTAAAAGACAAGTATTACATGGTATATCTGTGGTGTAAGGAAATGCACTTAGAACTTCTGTACATTCCATTTGAAATAAAATTCTGTGTAATTGTGAATTTGTTAGAATATATGGTGATTTTTTTTGGTAATTATAAGATCATCAATATGGATTATATGGATTATTGAAAGATGAACTCCCTGAAATGAAGAAGACCAAAAACTTACTTTGTACAGAGCCACGAGGAGCTTTGCTCTCTGCTCACCTCCTCTGAAACTTACAACATCTTATTTTCTTTCAACAGAAAGCTTTTCTTTACAGACTACGGGAATGCTGCCAAGGTTGAGAGATGTGACATGGATGGAATGAACAGGACGTGGATAGTAGACTCTAAAATTGAACAGCCAACTGCTCTTGCACTAGACCTCATCAATAAATATGTGTACTGGCTTGACATATATCTGGATAGTGTGGAAGTTGTTGACTATCAAGGGAGAAAAAGACATACAATAATTAAAGGCAGACAAGTAGGTATTTATTTGCAAATTAGTAAAAAGTGATTATATCGATAAGTGAATGTACATAATGCTAACAGTTACAGTAATTTCAGATTTTTTCTCTTTTTAGTTCATATATGTTAGAAATTAAAAGATCTGTCTGCAGGTTTTATTTCCAATTTAGCCCATTTTGCAACCTACGGGCAAGCTTCCACGCAGCGTCTCATTAACAATGCACCGTGTAAGTCACACTCCCCATTGTAAGAGACTTCAGGAGGGAAAATACGGGGCTATGGAAAGATACTAGGGGATAAATTATTAATGACAAGATGTCCTTGCCAATTCAGGAGGAAGAGACTAACAGGCACAAGAACGTGAAAGAAACAGAATAGCAAAAGCTATTCACCTGTTCAGACCAGTCTGGATGCCCTTAAATCGTATTTTGTTGATGGTGATGACGCTTTTCCCAGTTGATCCAGGTGTTTGTTGTCATAAATACAGATGCTGAGGCTGTTGCAGGAGTAGATCAACCCATTATTGTTGCTTCAGCTTGGAGAGTGGGTAGTAGGTAGCAGGGAAAGGAAGGGGTCCCAGGCAGTTGTGAGGCATATGTAAATCAAGGGAAAATTAGCAAAGACCAAACTGTTCCTGGTTGCTACTTGGACTCCCAGAGCTGGTGTGGGTACCATGTTCACACCAGGTAGTGCCTGAGCTTAAACAGAGTGTGGAAAAGTGTGCAGGCAGAAGAAACCTTTCACCTGCTCTGCTGTCATTGCTTGCTTGCTGCCAAGGGGTAACTGGTTAGTGTGAGTACCATTTCAAATGGCAGAGAATGTGACAAAAACCAGCCAAGGTCACCTGGCTAAATAGCAAACACCTTCGTATTTTTTACCAAATTACTTTGTAGCCAGTTGTTCTGGAAAAACAGGTCTGGTAAACTTCTTTTTTTTTTTTTTTTTTCCAGGTAACATTTTGGAATAGATACTTAAGAAAAGAAAGCCATTTTCAGAAGCAACTAACAAATACTTTTACAGGCTTGTAACTGAGTTGTACTGGTTTCATAGGAGAGATGCTTGTTCCTTCTTTTCTTTCTGAAGTTTAGATGCAAAAGAGGATTTTTTTCTCAAGTTCAGAGGGATTCTTCTCTAAACTAGCTGAGGCAGCAGAAGCTTGTCTGTTTCTTTCAATGTGGGTGAAGGGTATTAAAAGTTTGGCCTTTCAGTTGGTCAGTGCTATCACAAAAGGAGAAACGTATTGGTTGTCTTTCCACTCAAATGAAAAGTTGGTAATTCCACTAGGTTCTGTGCCCGCATTTACCAGTATTTAGAATGACCGTTACTCCAAGTTATCCCTCATTAGTCCAAGGAAACAGCAGACCAGAAAACTATTCTCAAGGCATTTTAGGGATTAACGTTTTTTTCATAAGTACAAGCAGATCAAAAGACATGCTTTTCCAAATGATACGGGCTTTTATGTTTGATAGCCTGGGTGCCTTTCAAAGGACTATTCTTTGTAGCAAGCAACATTTCCATTCATACATAAGATAGCTGGAAAGCTTCATGAGATGTGAAAAACAACAAATGCATGAATTAAATACAAATAATGAAATGATTATAAAATGCATTGTGAAAAGAGTCGCATGGTTTTGATAGTGTAGATATGGAAAAACTCTCATAGGAGTTAAATAATGAAGCTTTAAACTGAGTGCAAATGGACATAGGGAAGGAAGAATTATAATGCAGAGGAGAATTCAACAATTTGGTACAGATGCATCATTATTTTCAAGGCTGCTTTCCTTTCCATCTTACTATAATTGGATTGAATTTCTATTGGGTCTTAATCAAACACTTCCATGGATCTCAATTATTTATTTTTTCTCGGTAAGGGCAGAATACAATGGCAAAATTTGTCCAACTGGAGGGTAATTTCCAGAAAGGACTGAAATATTTGATGCATGACGGGGTTTTTTTGTTTGGCGAATTTTTTTGGTGACCCATGTCTGAATTCGTGAGTAAATGAGCTAAGTAAATACTTTGTGGTGATCAATTTATTGATTAAACTAATAAGATATTCACCCTGTGAATATCTGAACATCTGCCAACAAATTCTCTGTATGTTGTTCAGCTTTCAAAATTGCCAGTGAGGTATTCTACATTTTCTTAATCTACAAATCAAGCACAACCACTAGGTTGTGAAACCCTTCATGTTTGGGCTGTGATTCGCTAACTAACATTAGGTAATTTTTAATCAATGTATCCAGACTCATCACAGATTAATACAATTTTAGAATTCACTTTCTGTGAAACAGGCAGTACCGTATGTGACCACAACCATATTCAGACACCAGCACAAAAAGAACACAAGCATAGCTGAGGGAGTTTATTTCTTCATTTATGTACTTAAGAAAATATTCAGTGGGTTTCTCTTGCACTGTTTGTCTTGCCTTGATTTTAACATAATAAAAACCACATCAATTCAACCTATGAACTGTTTGATATGCTATATTTACTGTATTTATTAGTACATGCTAGTTAATATTAATAAATTTACCTTAAATATTGTTAGTTAATTAAGATTACTTAACACTAAAATAAGCTGCTGCACTTAACAAAGAATGCAGGGATTTTTAATTTAAAAGGCAGCAAAACTGGGAAATTCAGAGGATAAATGAATTTCCATTGCTAAATATTTTTAATTTTCCGCCTTTCTTGTACAATGGTTTTCTAATTATGAACTTCAAATTACAAGAATGTGAACTATACTTGTAGCGTAGATTGCGTTTATTATTTACAAATATTTATCCACATATTCAGAAATCCTTTTCTACACTTTAGCATGTACAATTCATAGTAATGTTTGATTTTTACAAGTCATAGATACACCTAAAATATTCAGCTAAAATAATGATTTTTTTTTCTTTTTTTTTCCAGATTAGGCATCTTTGTGGTTTGGCAGTATTTGAAAACTATTTATATACCTTTAATTCAGATAACCTCAGCATTTTACGAATAAACAGATATAATGGCACTGATGTTCAGTCTCTTGCTGGACTTGACAATGCTAAAGAGATCCGTGTATACCAGAAAAGAGCTCAAACACCAGGTAAGGACAAAATTCCTTTTTCTAAGGAAAGTAAAACCGGATATTAGGTGGATGTGTGGTTCAAACTATTCTTCCAGAAAAATGTATCAGAAAATGCAGTGAAAATTTGTCACTATGGCCAAACTCTCTGTTGCTTCTTCATCTGCCCAGCTTTCTGTTTGCTCACTGCCAGCTTCCCTGCACCTCTAAGCTCCTAACACAACAACAGCATTCAGCTTGGAGAACCACCAAAGAGCGCTGGTCTGCGGGTTTCTAGCTCCACACACTCAACGCTTTCCGAATTTAACACCATCGGGATTGTTTGATGTCCAATGCTGTCCCCGCTCTTGGGTCTCAGACCTCAGAGATTCCTGGTTTCTCTGGGCCTGCTTTTCAAACAGACCACAAACCTCGAGAGAGCCCCTGTCCTCGGGGTTGCCAAAAAAGCACGGAGGTGTGGGCAGCAGCTGGCCTAACTGCCAGCACAGCAGTTGGTGAGGCAGGAGATTGCTGTTAAGTTTTCCTTGGTTTGTATAAATATCATCTTTGCCTTCTGTGAAAGAAATCTTCATTTTCGTGTAGAAGGAAAAACGTGTAATCTCAGAATTTTTGGTAAAAGAGCAATTTCTGAGGTCCAGTCCTGTATGACACCAGTCGTGGCTCTGAGCACATCCTGCCTGCATTCAGAACAGCAGTGCCATTGTGGGAAAGACCGCAAGATCCGAAATGTTTACAGTGATGCTTTGAGAACTTTTTGATATGATTGATAGCAATAAATCATTGCCATGACTACTGCTTGGGCAGAAAAGCTAACGCATCAATTCTAGTGATCAAGGTCAATGTTACTAAACAGACTGACTGCTTGTGGAGAAGTTTCTGAAGTGGGAACAAACTCTAAATTGATGTAGACTGGGTGAACTAATTTTCACCCTATAGCTGAGGGCATTGATTTGCAGATGTCAGTGCCTGAAGGAGGCTGCAAAGACTCTTTCCTCGCTATAGGCCCCCCTCTTGTACCCCGGAGGGAGTCAGAGAGGTTGAGTAGAGGAGAGACATGAGCACAGTGTAATCTTTTATTACATCCTGTGATTACTCTGTTCCTCTTGCCCTTAGTTCACTCTGCTACTTCTTTTGTTTTGAATGGACATGTTTGTTGCTTGTCAGGATTCGCTGTAAAAGCTGTCTTAGCTTGGAGTTTCTGTATACCTTTAACAATATTGACCTTAAACCACTCGATTATTTTTTTAAAAAAAAACACAACGAAAAAGCTTGAGGGAAAGAAGAAAGAAGAAGAAAACATTTTTTGAGCTAAACCAGAGTTGGTCTGTTGTAAGCCAGCTTAGTAAATGTAGGATGGCAAGGTAGATTTTGTTTTCTCATCAGATTTACCTTAAAGAGTTTAAAAAAAATAGATTTGATATGTTTAGAACTGTGCATTTGAAAATATGAAATCAAGGGAAAGAAAGTCTTTGGCTTTTTCAGCTGGATTTATGTCCCAACTGTGCGAATATGGAAAAACACTACCAGGCTCGTTCTGTTCGTGAGTTTCTGCCCAGGTGTCTGCCACGGAAAGGTGCTGTCTAATGGAGTTGAATGAACAGCAAACTGCGTTGGTGTGTGATTCACTCTGCTCTCAAAAGAACAACCAACCAAATGAACCAAAGCAACACATAAAAAGGGGGGAAAGTGTCAGCTACCCCAGGGGAATGCTGCCTGGCAAGTGCTGTGCAGAAGCTAGTTTAAAAAGGGGCAGTCACACACAACAATAGGTATCGCTTGTAGCCACAAGATGAGCCTTTGGATTACTTGTCTGTTTTGGGTATCTTTTTAACAAAAACACCTTCCCTTGTAGTTATATTCTGGGGAAAGATTTATTGTGACAGAAATTATCTTTTTTTGGTTTTTTTTTTTCCTGTCTGAACTTCCTACATGCTGATGCATATAAATATTTTGCTTTAAATGGATTTGAATCGTGCTGTTTTTCACTCGCCCTAGTCAGAAGCCATGCATGTGAAGTGGACCCATATGGAATGCCGGGGGGATGTTCACACATCTGTCTGCTCAGCGGCAACTACAAGGCACGGACTTGTCGCTGCAGGACTGGCTTCATCTTGGGGAGCGATGGCAGGTCATGCAAAAGTACGTTATTTAAATCAAAGAGGATGCCAGCCGCTGATGTTCCAGGGTATAGTTCTGGGTGTTCTTTTAACGTGCTTATCAGTAACAATAGAAATCACACGGGCTGCTTTTGAGTAACATTTGTTTGCAACATGTACCTGACACTTTGTTCATCTACTCCTTTCATTCCCTTAAAATGATTTGATTTGGCTGAGTTCATAGAAGTGACAAATTAAACCTGTGTTGCTGTTTAAAGAATTCTAAACATCGTCACATGTTTTATGATAATCAGTCTCACTCTTTCTTTATATACTATGCATTCTCACAGCACATAGGTACTGAAATGCTGTTAAATAGTTTGTCACATCTATTTTCTCATACAATCAGCTTGTAACTCGGAAGCAGACAGTTCATGTGAATAAGTCAAGCAAGGTTTTTCTCATCATACTCTGTGAAGGCAACTTTGAGTTGCGTAACTATGGTTGTGCCTAACCTTAGGTACACACCACCTGTTGGTCACCTACAGCCAACAGGACAGTCCTGAAAGTTTTGGGGAACAGCTATTTTTGTCCATTTTCTGCGTGAAATAGCATTGATTTAGTTCAGGTGAAAGGCATGCAATTAGATGCTTTGGTAGATGCTGGTAGATGACCTCAGTCAAAGCTGATATGGTTTTCACTAAATTTCAACAAAAAATCTTGAGAGGCATTAGGAAAAGTACATACCTTAGAGGATTTTAAGAGGTATATTGATAGTACTAAGGATCTAAGGGTATTTATAAGTATCTTCAAAGGAAAGAAAATTACCTTACTAAGGTTCAGTTCTTTGTAATTAACCTACTTGATTACGTTGTAAAAATCTTCCCAGAAATAGAAAATATTGGTATCCATGTTTTGTGTCTCGGTATGAAAGAACGTGTGTTGATTTGTTGTATTCCTTCCCATTGGAAATAAATTTATTATATATTTTGTCTTGTTTGTTTCTGAGAAGCTTCAGGTGAAAAAAATGGTGGTTTGTATTTGCCAGAGTTTATGGTCTTGTTAGATTTAATGATTACTTCGGTCATGGTCTACATTATCCTGATAGATCCTAATGAATTGTAAAATTAAATGTCTATGAAACTATATATGTCCATTTCACAGTAGATGCAAAGTTATTCTGTGATCTAGCACTGCTTTTCTGTGTGAACTTTTATAGAAAAAAATAATTAGATGTAAGCAGCTCACTGAAGTAATTTGTGTTTTAATTAAGGTGATATAATTAGCTAGATTTCTTGAGTTTAGATACCTTCGGAATATATGAAAGTTTAATTTTTGGTATTGAATAATGCTCTGCTCCCCCACTAATTGTGCCAGTTAATTAAACAGTGACATTCTGCACTGAAAAGAAGATTAGGCAGCATCAGTTGTTTATGTTTATAATCTTTCTTTTGCAGGACCAAAGAATGAACTGTTTCTTTTTTATGGGAAGGGACGCCCAGGAATAATACGGGGAATGGACCTGAATACCAAAGTATCTGATGAATACATGATCCCCATAGAAAACTTGGTCAATCCTCGTGCTCTGGACTTCCATGCCGAAACCAATTACATTTACTTTGCTGATACTACCAGTTTCCTAATTGGACGTCAGAAAATTGATGGCACAGAGCGAGAAACAATCCTCAAAGACGGTAGGCAGTGCTAACCGATAGTGACATTCAGAGAATCTCACTAAGGAGAAGCTGAACTGATGTTTGCAGATAATTTAGAGCTTTATTTATACCTCCCATGGAAAGCAGACCCAAAGTAGACCTTGAACAGAGTTGGAGATACTTTTTTTTACAACTTCTTGTTTGTTTTTCGTGAGCGCAGAAATGTAAAGTTTGGTTAAGCTGCTCTGTTGTGAATTCTTACTTTGTCCATTGAAGCTTGTACCCACCAGTGAGTCACTCCTACATCTCCACTGATTCTTTCAGTAGTTAGATACAATGGATCCGTAATGTAGTTCTTTTGTAATCGTTCGCTTAGCCATCATCCCATATCCTTGTGGGCTTGTAGACTCCTTCACTCCAACCTGTATCACAATGTGGATTCTGGAGCTTATTCAAGTAGTTTGGCACAGTGAGATTTCCTGTAGAGCTTGCAAACTCCTTAGAAAAAAAAAAAAAAAAAGCATTCTCTTTCCTGATGCATTTTCCGTTGTGTATGTGGAAGCAAGAGGAAGACCTAAACGTTTTTTTTTAGAACCTTAATTAAGGTGTTTGTACCATTTATTATAGCAATGAGAGAAATTACCAGCAATTCTCTAGTTTCCAGCTCTCCCACCACACTTCACAGAATCTCCCTGGTCTAGGATTGTATCTTGTCGTACTAAATGCTGTTCAGGTGATAAAACCTCCAGTTTGTCAGCCTGTATTTTATTGACCCTTTTCATGAAAGACTGCTTCAGCAACAGGTAACAACTGCTTCATTTTCTACTACTCCAGAAAATAAGCAATATGAATATTCATCTTGGCCTTCAGAGAGCTTAATATCTTTACTTGTAAATTGAAGCTTGAGACAGTGGAAGTAACTAAAATATCATTGTTTTAGCACAGGGATTTTCATTCCTTGTCATTCATAACCCGTGTTTTAATTCATCTGTCTCAGAGAAGTTATCTCCAGTTTGCAGTGACACGGTGCTGTTTTGGTATAAGGTTTCTCCACAGATCTCAGAGTCTACACAAAGATCCCTTCAGTCGCAGTTGCAAGGAGTAGATGGCTCTCTACCCTGTATTGGTGATTACTTAATAGAAGGCAGCTTCTGAGCAATAATGGATACTCAGCTGTCAATGTGGTGATTCTTAATTTCACTGCAAATATGGAAATGAATAATATACTTCACAGAACTTCCATTACTGACCTTCTCTTACTAAACACCATACATTTCATTTTACAACAAAGTAATCGAGATGTGGAGTAGAGGAAGGAGCAGACAGTCAGTAGATTTAAACATTGTAAGGTAACACCAAGGAGCATCCTTGATGAAAGGTGTCAAAGGTTGGGGTTACTTTAATCAAACACGAATAAAATTTGTATACCAAACCAGCAAATTGAAGAGACTCTTTTAAATAATGTTTAAGTGGAATTTCTGCTCTTTATAAGTACAACATAGCAAAAATAGCAATGCAATACCAAGAGTTATGGATTATCTGGTGATGTATTATTGCTGGTCCTAGTACTTACAAAAACCAAAAATAAAAGTCACTGTCATTCTCCCCACACTTCTTCCCCAGGAGCTCACATTGTTAGTTAGAACTTGTAGTTTCATAACTTTAAAGTATGCTTAAAGAACACTTGTTAATGTATTTTTCATGATTTAAAAAATTAATATGGCCTCCAGCCATACCACCTCAGCTTTTATTCTTGTCGGCTCTCAAGAACTCAGCAGGCACAGATTAAATCATTCCTTGGTGGAAGGCTACTAGCGAAAATCAGGTGTGTCGGGAGACGGTTTAATATTCGCTCTGAACGGCGTGCTGCTGAGGAACTCTATCTGTAGTAGGCGTCACTTCTCAGATTAGAAGTTGTCATTTTTTGTGACTATCAGGTTTTGCAAGAACAGATATGCTAGCTCAAACAACACTGTAACTCGGATAATTAGAGTTTGCCTGCATGAGAGCCTGATCCTCCAATCTGTTGACTGGGAACTGAGAACGCTGAGCACCTAACACTGCTGGAGTTTGGTTTCCCGTATAGTTTCAGCTGTGATTTCTTATTCTTCACTTCGGGAAACGAACTGCTGTGTAGTGTTGATAACCGTTTGACAGCCCACAAGCACAGCCTATCCTAGAGTTGGTGGCACAACTGCAATAGTTGTGTACTTTCACCAGCAATAGAAGTGGCTGTAATTAAGGTTTCAAACTTCCATGTTAAATATTTTTAAAAATAATAATAATAAAAAAAACGGAACAAATCAGGCATTTTTAAAAAGATTTAAATATTGTTCAGTTGAAGTAACATAAACACAAACTCTGGTGGTTTTTTTTTTTACTTTTCTTTTCCCCCTTATGTTGTTTAGGGGTGCTGTGAGCCTTAAAGTGTTATATTATTCACTTAGAAATATTAGCAAAGATAGTCAAGGGCTAACTTTTTGCTTAAACAAGGTCAAAGTAAGTCTGTAAAGGTATTTGGAAGCTGTTCAGCATATAGAAGAATTACTTTTTTTCACTGGTTTTTGTGTTAATCTAGTATTTTAGGCACTGTGTACATGATCTAACTCACATTGGTGAGCTAGGCCATTCTGTACTAAGTTACACACTGTCCTTATAATCACTTGCATATTTAAATCCAATGTGGCAAATTATTGCCTCTAGAAAGATGATTTTTTAAAAAAATCTTATATCAACATCAATTCTTGTTTAACCAGAATGACAGAATGTTCCGTTTTACTGCTTGATGTGAAGCCCACCTAAAAAGTAAGGAATGTATTTTAAGATAAATAAAAGTGAACTTTAAACCATAACTTCACAAAAAGAATGTAAATTCTCCTTGTAGGATTGTGCTGTAGAACTCTCTGTTACTTTAAAACTTTCTGATATATTTAATATTTAATTACCAGGAGGTTTTTTGACATAGATTGTGTTTGGTTTAGAAACATGGATGCTCCAAAATTACTGCAGAATGCATGGCAGCTCAGATACAGTAACTATTATATGAAACCGAATAGACTTGGGGCAATATGCTTATAAATTTTGGGAGGTATCTAAGAATTCTCCTCTAATACTGAGCTTTGTTGTTGATACTAATACGGTTTGTATTTGGACTATTTTGTCTCCCAAGGAAGAAAAAAACCCACAAAAATATTTTAATTGAAAAGCTGATTTTTTTTAGTATAAAAACTGTCATTAACCCAAAATGTCTAGGTCAGACAGGATAAAAATAAAATGGGTTTTGAACAAATCACTCCTTGTCTTCAAGCTTGATTTTAGACATGTCAGTGTTTTCTTGAGTTGAGCAAAATCTGCCGAGACCCCTCTGAGCCCTAAAGGACTTTTCTCTCACTCCTGCAGCTTGTCTCTGTTCCCTGTTCAGTTTAGCAGTCTTTCTCTGCGAGCCTTGGGCTCCCAGATCCTTGGTGAGATGCTGTCTTCTTTTCCCTGTCACACATTGCACTTCTGTCTTCTCAACATACTTGTTCACTCCAAGACCAAAGGCCACTCTCCCACTTTGAGAGACTTCCAGCTGGCTCTGACATTGCCTTTTTAAAAGAATGTAGCAAAGACACTGTCCTGGTTTGACTGGGACCAGAGTCCCAGCCCAGCCATGCTGGGCAGGCCCTTAGCAGTTTTGGGTCAGCCAGGGCAGCTGACCTGAGTGAGCTACAGGGGTGGCCCATCCCACCATGTCATGGGCATTGTAAAGGGAGAAGATTTCATAGAATCACAGGATGGTTTGGGTTGGAAGGGACTTTAAAGCCCATCCAGTTCCAACCCCCCTGCCATGGGCAGGGACACCTCCCACCAGACCAGGTTGCTCCCAGCCCCATCCAGCCTGGCCTTGAGCACTGCCA